TTTTTTTTTTTTTTTAAATAGAGCTGTTCCATCTGCTGTGTTTTCTCAGCCTCCAATTGGACAAGTTGGTCTTACGGAAGAACAGGTGATGGTTGTTTTATTGGGTAGAAGTGTAAAAAGGAGTCTTGTGGTTTCAGCTATTTGCACCTCAATGACAGGTGCTATGGTTTTTGCACTCAAGTTTCAAGTGGTTAGTTTGTTAGCATTTATCAAGAGCCTTTGTTCCATTAGTTTTGGGTCTGGGTGGCACAAAGAGGTTCAATGAAACAATGGTTTAGATGTTTAACAGGCTTGCCACCTCTTCACCCAACTAATGATATTAAACCTCTTGCTGCTGCTAGTGGTATTTTTGTGATTGATCTTGAGTGCAAAACTGTGGATTTCTGTAATTGAAGTGCAAATGGCTGAAATACATGGTACTTCCTTTCTTAATAATTTTTCCTACTTCACTTGTAATAGCTAAGATTGATTTCTTGAAAGAATTCTTGCAGGCTAAAAAAGAGTATGGTGATATTGATGTCTTCACAGCTAATTTCAGGCCTTTGAAGGCTACTCTCTCAGGGCTTCCAGATCGGGTCTTCATGAAACTAATAGTCTGTGCTAAGACAAACAAAGTTCTTGGGTTGAACATGTGTGGAGAAGATTCACCTGAAATCGTGCAGGTGTTTTTCTTGGCTCTAACTAGTGGTTCTGTTTTTAGTGAAGTTGATTTACAAGTTCCATAACTCCTATGGTTCTCGAATCCTTGAACTTGCAGGGATTTGCAGTTGCAATCAAAGCTGGCTTGACCAAGGCAGACTTTGATTCCACAGTGGGTATTCACCCAACAGCAGCTGAGGAATTTGTTACAATGAGGACTCCTAGTAGAAAGATTCGAGAGCATCCTGCAGCTGAGGTTTGTTGAAAGCAAACACCTTTTATATCAGTAATATGCTTTCAATCTTGGTAACAATATTTGAAACAGCCTAATAAATTAACAATGCTGTGTCCAGAACACATTTTACAGTTCTTGGTCAAATTTTTGTAGCTGCACACTTTCTGTAAAACCAGTTTCACTTTAAACTGGTATAAACCAGTTATGTTTGTAACATCTCTGGCATAAACCAGTAATCGAGTTCTTTCATGAAGAGCTGAGCCTGTATTCACTAGTATCTGATTATTTTATGCCTCTGATGATCTACTCTTCAGTTTAACTTTGATTTATGTGATTTGTAATATCTTGTTTTTGTATTTAATTGTTGTTAATTGGCCGTGTACACCATCAGGGGAAGGCAGGTCACGATGTTAAAGCAGCAGCAGGGGTTTAGCGTGGGTTTACTTCGTCATGATAGCCCTTTCAAGGTTTGAATGCTTTCTCATGACTTCTGTAGACAAAGCATAGTTTTCGGTTATTTTACTTCTTGTTTTCTTCATGAAGAAAATATAGAATGCTACTCTCGTTTGCTGCATTTGGCTGTTTCAACAAGGACCATATGTCACTAGATTATTTTGTTATGAGCAGGCATTTTTTGGAGTCTAATGTAGGGTTACTCGGTAGTTAGTAGATGCAAGTGAAGACGAAACTGGTATGTGGTGCTTTGGGAGTCATCTCTTAAATCTGGTCTTCGTTAAAATTTTAATAAAAATTAATCAGTAGCCAGTAGGATATTCTTGTGTATCATCACAAGGTAAAAGTTCCTCGAGCTTTTCCCACAACAATAATTAACATATTATTCCCTTCAGCATTACTGAATATCTCAACCAACTGGGCAGGCAGTCACTCCGGAAAATAGCTGGCAAAATATCTGCTTGTAGAGTAGCCAAGGAATGTTCGGATGTTGATATCGGATTACAGGCATCATTTGAAGCGTAAATGGTGGAAGTTCATGTTGGGGTCATTGGTGAACATAAGCAAACCATTAAAGAGCTTTCCAAAGGAATAATAATAATCATAAGGCATTGTAATTTTTGCTCTTACAAATGTGGAAATGAGTGGGGAATTGCAATAATATGCATGTTAGGAATATCTGTTTCCCTGTTTTATGTTTTTCTTTTCCCTTTGTATACTGAAACAGTATTTGTTTGTTTGAGATAACTTAAGGATGTATATTTTCATCTCGCCGCCGTCTCTACTTCACTCTCGTACCTTGTGGAGGAAAATAAAGTAGAAAGTGTACTAACATGGGAGCAGATCAATGGGATTGAAGCCAGACAAAGCTGAACTTGCCAATCAATTATAATAAATGCTTGGCTGGCTGGTTCTTCAACCAAATTGTGGCCTCAAACTTGAAATATAAGTTGCATCTTACTGATTAATTGGATGGAATAAGTTATCGAATTAATCTTTGGGCGTTTCTATCGATCTCGTTAGCATGGAGGAGCTAAGTAATTATAATCGGGACACTGTTTGCCAAAGATAACGCAAACTGTTTAGGTAGCGTTTGGAGAAATGAAGATAATAAGTGAAAAAACGAACATGTTTGCCTGAAGTATGTTTTGATGAGGTAGAGAATTAGACTAGTAAAAATAAATCTCTTCAGAGATATAAAAATAAATGTATTTATTATTTTTGGATTAAATTTCTACTTAATATGTTTTCTCATAATACTATTATTTTTTTTTATTGTTTAAATATCTTTATAAAACATTCTAATTTCAAAATTATTCAATTAAGATATATAAATTAAATTATATAAATATAAAAGTAATTATTATTATAATAATATATTTTGTCATTTAGTGTTCATTTTATAAGGATCAACTTGTTCTAACTTTTATTTTTTTTTAAATGATCAAAATGACATTGCTTTGATCAAAAAGTTTTTAATAAAAAATCAACTATTATTTTTTTAACCTCGGTTGTATTACAGAGATTGTGGATGGACTTGGGTTTTTAACTTGATTTGGTTAAGTCAATTCTCTTTTGGGTTTTCGATTTAATTTGGTTAAGTCAATTCTTCTTTATTTTTTAAACTTAGATTGGTTTAGACCTAAGTTGACTTGCTGAATTAACCTATGTTTTATAATTAAGGTAATTAGACTATTGTTAATTTTAATGCTTAATATAAACTAAAGTAATTTTTTTTAAATATATAAGTTTTACATGTTAAAGATAAAATAAACTTTTTAATATTTTATTCTGTCTTGTTAATAATTAACCAAACAGGGTGCATAGATTTTACTTGATTTATATATCATTATAAAACATTATTCTTTCTCTATTTTTTGTTTTATATTTTCTTCTGTCTTAAATGCGGTTGTCTATTTTGTCCTATGATAATAATTAAATGTTGCCTTATGATTCATACAATTTCTACAATACAGAGCACTAACTAGCCTTTTTTTTTTTTGATGATTTAAGGAATTCTATGATAAATTGAAGTTAAAAATAAAATTTAAAATTTAAAAGTTGCTCCCTTCTACTACATGGGGCAAACATCTTTCTAAAAAATAAAACTCAATTTTTTATGCTAGTCTAAAATGACTAGCCTTTTAGATAACTAGGATTTTAAGCTTGATACCTAATACTAATTTTGTTTGTTCAAATTTTGTCAAAACACACATTTCTATTGATTTTTCTTGGGTTCCAAGAAAGTTGCACACACAAACTTTTTATGCATGCAATTTTTTTATGTACACACAAGTCTTTCTATGTAGAGTAATCACCATTTTGTATGCCAATAACACTGCGTATTAATAATATTTTCACTAATAACAAACATGTTAAAACAACCATAACAAATTACTATGACTAGCCAATGATAACACACTAGTTTCTCCATCAATGATACATTTTCCCCTCTTCATGAAGAAATTCCAAGACCTAAGTGTATAAACACACCTATTTATAAGGTAAAAAAAAAGACCAAGACCAAAAAAACTAGCCATAAAGGCTTAGGCCATAAAAGTCAGCCATATAATTATATACCATTAAATTTTTCTCTTTGTATATGCATTTCTTTTGCATTTTTTTTTCCTTCCATACTACATTCCTTTTATACTTGCCGACTTAAATATCAGAGAATATATGTTCCAACATGAGACTTGTTTTGCAGGAAAGCTTGTACACTTGCGGTCAAGTTTATTCACACCAACCTAGTACATAACTATAAAAAATCCAATTACTATATAAAGCTTTTTTATGACTTCATCAACTGTGTCGTCTGTGGGAAGTTGAACAAAGCTAGTTCATTCCCTTTCATCTCTAATTAAAAGTATTTTTCTTGGTTGATGAAACTTCAGGATAGCAGAAAGTAACTGACCTCTCTACTATGAGAACTCTAGCTCTTTTAGCTCTCTAACAATCTTCCAACAAGTGCAAGTGCTCAACAATGCTTTTCTAACCATATAAGAAGAATTATGTACTCTTTCATTCCATTAACAAAAATTCAACACACAACTCTATTATGTGTAGTAGATGGTTAAAAGAGACTTCAGTTTCACAAAGGAATATGATAAAATAACATGTAAAGTATGCACAATACCTTTACTCTTCGAAGAAGCCACTCTCATTATGAAGAGACCTTTCGACATATCTTAGTTATAGGTAAGGTTATCTCATTCAATCCTTACTTGACTTTTATTTGTATACTTCGCGATTAAAAAGATCCAAATGTGAGACAAGATTAGAGATTGCATGACCTCTTAAGAATAAATATTATTTCTATTAGATAGAGATCTCTTTGTCAAAAAGTATTATACACTTAACTCTTCAAGGATTGTGTCACCACGAATGCTAATTTGGATAACTACGATGAGCTTACAAATCCTAGAAAGCATATGCAAAATGTCAGAAGTATAATTGAGTTTATGACACAAAAAAGTGATGTTATATGGAAAATTTTTCCAGTAACTTTTCGAGGATCTCCTAAGGTGTGATATCACAGCCTTGAACTTGGTTTCATCTTTGATCTTCAAGATCTCAACATAAAGTTTATCTCTTATTTTAGAACTAATATTTTAATTAAAATGAGCATGACTAAGCTCTTCACCATTACCAAATAAGACAAAATCATTAAAGCATTGCTCCGAGGACTTGATGAGAAAACACTTAACATGAAGAATCTACTTTAAAATATTGCCACTAAGACCTTAATTAGTGGAGCATATAACTATTTTTTATGGGAACACTTATACACTATCCATGACATAACTCGTATTAACATGAAACAAGTAATGAAGAACCATATTCAAGCAGAGAAAGCCAACATGACTAGGTAGGGTTAACCTTTTTTTTTTTATAAAGAAAACATAATTTCCACAACACATTATTCTTCCACTAGAGCATCTAAAAGGAACATTAATTGCACCTTGATCGCCTAACATTCTTCAAGCTTATGACCACACTATTCATCACTACACACATTGAGATTTTTAGCGTCATAAAGGAAAAAAACTTTATACAATGTCCATATCTCATGAAAAGTGGTTCAAACACAAATAAACTAACAAGCTTTGTCTATTTTACCATGTTGACACTTGGCACGACATTAAGAAACAATACACCCTAAAAAATAATATAACAAAATTGATCGCTAGAGGATATCTCTAATAATTTATCAGAAAGAGAGACAACCAGAACAATAAGAGAAACATGTCTTCACATTCCATGATCTACTTGAGATTAGGTATCTCTAGCTATTTCTAGAATTTTATCTCTATCCTTTGAATCTTTTAATAAAGTAATGTTTCTTTATGATAAGATATCTATCTCTATTAAATTCTCCAGTTCCCCATTGTTGAAGATTATCAACCTTAATCAAGGACTTTCTATATATACATTCTATCTACCCAGAATCACAACCACAATCATAGTTAATTCCTTCATTTTCTCTTACTCACAATTATGCTCATATAATACGTTACACAACCAAATATATATAAATACAAGAACACTCACTATCAAATGTATGTTAGTTTCAAATATCTTCATGGTATTAGAGTCTTGATGACCACGTGATCACGAGTTTGAATCTCACTATTCTTATTTATTTCATAAAAATCAAGTATAAGGTAATGTGAGTTTGTGCAACTTTCAAGCACAAATGACTTTCACTTGAGAGGGTGTGTTAGAGAATAATATAAATTATATCCTGTGACTTCACCTAACAACTTAAATTTTTGGGTTGAGATTATTCTTTGACATAGTATATCCTGTGACCCAACAGGCCTAGCCGGGTCACTAGCCCAAGCTAGTAACTCGACTAGTTTTTAACAGCAAGCGTGCATAAATAATTCACGCATTCTTATTATAACTATAATGTAGTTAAATTTCACATGCATAATGTTTTTGCAATTATAAATGGAAGGAGAATGAGTGAGAAGCTTACCTGGTTTATAGCCGTTGCTAGGTGAAGTCCTTCCTGAGCTTGTCGCTGGGATTTTAGGAAAATGCTATGATGCCACTCCCTGCGTCTGACTTCCTTTTTGTTCTATCTTCTCCTTGTGTCTGTCTCTTACCTCCTCTCTCTACATATGGTTCTCTCTTTCTCTCTGTTTCTTTTCTTTAGTACTTCTCCACTGTTTCACTCTCTCTTCTCCTCTGTTTTTGTTCTTTCTCTCTTCTTCCTTCTCTCTGTCATTTTTTGCTTTTTGTGTATTTTTCATGTTTTTTGTGTTCCAGTGTTATGTCCTATTTGCGTTTACTCCCTTGTTCTCCTTTATGTCCATCTGTTCAAGAGGGTGGTGCAACCGAAGACGAGGCTAGCTGATGCTCGTGCATTGGCTGGCAATACTTCTCTATTTTTCTTCTTTTTATTTTTTTATTTTCTTCCTCTTCCCTTTTTTTTCCTCTCCTCTCCAAGAACACTCACCACCAAATGTATGTCAGTTTCAATCATTATCACCCACAACCACTTGTTTTAAAAAAGGATAAATTATCCTTCTCTAGGTTTTTAGACCACTTATCTCTAAAAGGATCATGGATCATTCTTTAGGTTATTGGATCACTTATCTCTAAAAGATCAATAATCCATCTCGTCTTTATGACTACATATAAATCCATGAACATATACACCTATTATTTTACTTAATTTTATATT